CCAAGTATGTACGTTCCTCATCTCTGAAGAGGAGAAGGCGTGGCTTTTGAAGATGGCACTGGACGGGTTACTCGTGGGATATCTCAGTTTGAAACAGCTGCCATTTTGGACAAAGACATGACCGCAATCATCTTGAAATGAAAATATTCCGCCAAGTGCACAACCACCGTCTCGTCATGCTACGCCTACCTCATCTCAGAGATATCGTTTATACAAGGTTATAACCTAACGTCGAAAAAAATATGTTAGTGAATTGTGAATGGCGAACCGCCATTCCCAGTGGACCACTGAGGGCAGTGCCATCATGTTCCAAAATGATCCATGAAATTTCACTCATGACGTGAGCACTTAGGTAAGACACTGCTCCTTAGAAGGAATGTTTGAACGCTCCATTAAATTCCAGGATTAGGTTCGCCCTCGCACTACTAGGTCGAGCTTATAATTAAGGCTGGGGTAAAATCGCCGCCGCACATCAACGGACCCTCTACTTTTGGAAATTGGGTGGAAATCACAGACATGGCCAGAGGCGCTGCACAGGGGTAGTTCTGGCCCTAAGCACGAATATAACCCCTGCTCGGCGCGAAGAGATTTGTTGTAAGAATGCTATCCAAACCGTCGTAGCTCAGTGCAAGAGAAACCTTCATAACTTCCAGTAGAGAACGTCGTTCAGGGAATTTCAAAGAAGGTCTGATCAGCGCTGACATGTCTGATGTTATCGAGGATGTTCATCGCTCATGACTACGTCGTCCCGGGAGCCATCCTTACCCAATGTTCTAGTGAGAGCTTTTCAATCGTGAACTGCGACGACAGACTTGAGTTATAATGGCAAAATAAGTGAATAGCAGGCCCAAGAAAACAAGTGCTAGGAAATAGGTAGGGCAAAGCATCAACGAAGACGACAAGAAAGCCATTGGCACCCATGTCGTTTTGCATGAAAACCAGCAGTAACGACCGTTTAAGACCACTGTTTTTGGTCATAAAGTGGAATTCAATTATTCCCGTCCTGCGAAACAAAAGACTTTCCTTTGTGTTAGTGATTGTTCTTTGCATGTTCATGTTAACTTTCGCTTGCGCTTCATCCTTTTCAATTTCACAGAACTCATACTCTGATTCCGACTTGAAGTTTTTGAATAGCAGCTCCAAGCAATTCAGCAATTTGGTGCCTATCGGCTTGGTGGGGGTGAATGGCCTCAGCTAGGTTTATACAGGCCACCATGTCCAAGGCCTCTGAAGTGCGGTATCCAAGGCGCATCACTAGAACAATTTCGCAGCTTCACAAGAATCTACAAGTCTGGCCAAAGTGAGACGTGTCAGTTAACATGGAACAACAGAAGGCGTAGCGAAAGGTACAACATGTCCCCTCCAAGCTAAATAGTGCCCAACTCGAAGGAAACCATAGCAGGAGGTTAGCTAGAACTTCGTTCATGGATCACACATTCTTATAGTTCACCAGGGAAGGTCAACAGGTCAGTTCTACCATTTGCAATGAGGTGTGGGGGCCTTGAGACGGTGAATTCAAATCTATGAGGTTGGTGCATAAGTTCTTTCCCCCGACTTCTTGTAAATATCTCAGTAGCGTACCACCCTGAAGATTAGAATTATGCCACCATACCACCACACACTCGACGCCAACGCTCAGGCAGCTTGTCGATTCCTTCCTCCCAGAAGTACGGGGGCTGGGACCTGAAGAAGGCCACAATGCCGCACAATCGCCACTGTGACGTGGTTTCTCAGTGGTAATTGTGCGGCATTGTGGCCTGCAAATGCAGGGTGGGTGAGTGATGGCTAGTGTGGTGAAAGAGTATAATGTACCAACCTCCATGCAAACGAAATACGGAAGGATCAAAACAAGGGGGGGAACTTATGCACCAACCTAATGCCTTCTAAATTGCGAAACGGATCTCTGAACAACTGAGCAACTCTGAGCAACTAACCTAACCCAACTTTTCTCGAAGTTGGAACAAAATCTCAGATCTTGCTAGGTTGCCACTCTTGGGGGTTATTTGACCCCCTGAACACGAATGTGACATCCGATTTGCTCGAAGTTGATTATTTCGCGCACTACAGGTGCCGGCCTTCCGGCGCCAGCGAGTGCCCGCCCTTGGGCGCCGGCGTGCAAGTAAAAACTGTGAAGGAAACCTCAGTAGCTCCGTTCAGATAAATAGAGATTCGCAAATTCCTTTTTTTGAGCTGATCGTCTCAATGCGCGTATAACGATGTGCACCCCATCGCAAATAGCTGGAGTGACCTGTTGGCCTTCCCTGGTCAGGACATAACCAGTCAAGCTTGGAAATTCAGAGAAAAATCATTGAGACACATGGCTTGAAATTCCTGATCGGATTGGAAGGTTTACGACACAACCGCATACGCAGTTTTCATCTTAGGTCAATGCAGACACTAAACTATCCAAGAAAGTTACCAAAAAATAATAAAAAGGTCAAGGTCCACACATTATTAGATTTGCCACGTACAGGGTTATTGGCCAGATTAACTTTCAAATACTTGAGGAGGCTGGAAATTATGACCGTTAGCAACGGTTTAATCTGCCGCAAGCCGTCGATTTTGCAAAATTCATGGGCAGTGCTGTACTAGAATAAACTTTGTTATCCTAGTGCGTTTTACGCGGTTGCATGGCTTTTCCTACACCGACTCTTTCTCTTAAACTGCACCGAAATATGGGACTTTCTGAAAAACGGTGATCGCAGTCGCTTTTAAAATGCATTCGACCATGAAGCTTTATTGCGCTTCATCTCTAAACATTTTAAGAGCTCTATAAAACTCGTGCAAGATGATACATAAATAAAGGCTGAACCACTTAGCAGACCATCGGCAGATCTGTTATTCATGGAATTCTGGACCGCCAGCGAAGTCCCCTTCCGACTTATAGGGGTAAATTAGGAATAAAAAATCCGAAAGAACAGACCAGTTTTTCAAATGAGAAGACCGCAGCGTTTCCTACATGTGGTTGTTACGTCCGAACTGAAGTTGCGACAAACAATAGCAACTATTATGTAAGCAACGCACAAAACGCATGTTAGTCGTAATCTTAGTCTAAGGCCTGAAAAATTGCGGAAAAAATTGAAAAAAAGAGTTGTGATGTTGAGTTGTTGTGTTCTGATTGCCGAGACCTGACTGAAGGCACGGAAACCTACAGAATGACATAGATTTTTCTCGGAAACGTTAAGCGATCCCCTGATGGGTGCGAAAATCTCCCAAACTGTTACTCTGGTCAGAAGTTTCGAAAAAGGACAAGACCCTTTCGCTATCTGTATATTGACGAATATTATTTTTCAGTCGCCTTCGAATCGAGGAGAACTCTTCCCATGTACACAGATTTTCTGTAAAATCTATTCCATTTCAGCCCTTCGCTTCGTGGAGTGCCGTCATCGGTCAACTATGGCACAACCCAACATCACACAAGCACCACGAGCAACACTACCGTGAGCGCACGGCCTGCACAAGTGCAACACAACCCGCACCCACCACAGCAATCTCCAAATCCGCCCCCGATCCCATCCAATCCTCCTCCAGGTTGGCCGATTTGTTGTTGTCTAGATTAGGATTGTTGTTCAGAGTCTACAGAATTTGCGGAAACGCTTAAGGAATGTAATCAAAGGTAAATAAGTAGCTCAATTTCGTGAAACAAATTCGAGCTTTTCCTGAGTTCAGGAAATGCCTGAGAATGACAGAGTTCTTATTTAGGGCGTTCTTTGCTGTCAAAATCGGAATTGTAAATTTCTGTCCACGTTCTCGGTTTTGCGATTTTAGTCGCCCCACTGTTTGGTCATTTTTATGTTAGAAATTCTGTTGAATGTTACACTCCTTATCCATGAGAAGCGGTGGGCGTGGTATGTGAACATGGCACGGATTGGGTCACTCGTGGGATATTTCTCTCTTGAGACAACTGTCATCTTTATCTGTGTTGGAGAGACACGATCATAATTGCGTTAAGAAGAAACTATCTCTCCAAAAGCCCACCGACACCTCTGGTTGAAGTACGCTGCCACGCCTCCCACGTCTCAGGGATTTCGAATGTGTCTCTTCAATGCTTGCCTTAGTCACGTCACCTTCATCGACCTATGGCTACGTGCCTAGAAACGTATCCCAGCGAAGGAGGGGAGGAGAAGCCCCTTGACCGATGTTCCTGCGTCATTTATGTACTTCTCAGGGTTTCTTCTAGCTTCGTAGACAGCGCAGGTCTGGCCCGTAACTTAGGGTTAACCTACAAAAGGATCTTGCGTGGCAGCTGGTTGAAGGTTTTTGATGGGAGACGGGCAAGAGGATCGTAAACTGCCGCTCCGTCGCGCGCGGCAATGAGCGCGACGTTTCCTTAATTTGCACTATCCGTTTCGATTGGAACATCGGATTACATAGAAACATAGAAAAAAGGACATGGTAGACACTTGTGTCTATTTTTGGTCATACATTGTCAATTGTCGACCAGTACCACCTACAATCATCTTCAACAGGGGGAGCGACGTCGCACGCGACGCCTACTAGCACGGCGAATTCCGATTTTCTTGCCACATACCCGTTTTTGACGAGGGTGCTAGGTGAAAGGAATGGAATGGCATCATGACCTCTCGAAAATGCAGAAAAATCACTTGACTCATGCCCCCTACCGGTAAACTAGTTCTCTGAACACGCTTCTGCCATTTAAGTTTAGCTTGTAAAACTTATGTCCATGTTTTGTGTTTGTCATTGTCCGTCCACGTCCAGTTGTCCGTTTTACTGTATCGTTTCAGAGTCACGTGTACCTGCATCAGTTCGAAGCGCTGTTTCTCCTCGACGAGCTACAAAGTCACCAAGACAATGGCCGCCCGACCGCGGTCTGCCCACTCTTCGATACTGGCAAATTGATCCCGCCTCCCAGTCCAGGAAAGAAAAGGAAAATGAACCTGTGTCACTGCACGAAATGGTGGAGGCCACCGACAATGAAGATGTGAAACGTACTAGGAAAGGTCGTGCACGTAAAGATCCTGAATCAACTCCACAAGTCGCTTATTCAAAAACATTTGGAAGGAAGTCTGAACGGAAGGAAATTTCGGTTGATGTTGAGATTAAGGCAACGAATTCTGAAGCCGTTTCCACCGCTCTCACTAGCAAGCCAGCAATCAGTAGTGGTATACACTGGACCGTCATTCATGCACCAAATAGCCCAGAACTGAGAGCGCAGTACCCCAGAGACGAATCTCCAACAATCGAGCGCCCGTTGAAATTGCCTGAATCCCCAGACCTAGTAGTAACACACCCTAGCCATGGAAAAAGCTCTCATGCAGCCCCATTCGACAAAACCAACACTTTATTCCCGCCTCATACAACGGACACTAGCACATCACCGATCCCGACCATTCAGCTGCCACGACGGCGATCGGGCACGGGAGAACCGTCGGGAATTCTTCGAGCACTCTCGCCGGTACCCTTCAGGAGAGTTTCACCACCAGTTCTTCCCACAGCGCCGCATGAGCCACTCCCAGAGCTAGCAGTCGACATATCAACACAGGATCACCACCACCCTACCCTCGTTGGTGCGAACACAACTCCTCGACCATTCTCTATCCAGAACCTCTCCCCTTCACCAGTGCCCACCGTTGAGGAGAAACCAAAACGATCTAAAGTGCTAAAGAAGGTCGACTTTTCTAAAGCCACCGTTATCCCGGAGCTTTGGCAGAGCACCAGTGAGGTTATCGATGAAGAAGAAATCTCGGCTGACTTATCTCCAACGGATTCTCTGCCATTCACACCTCCGGCAGATAAGGAGATGTCATCGAACGCGACCACACCATACGACGGCGACGAATCGGAGACCTACGACAATAAGAGCGATAACGCGTCAACTCTGGAAATGGAGTTGGTAGATGAGCAAGAGCAGTGGATTAGGGAAGAGCTGGAATTGGCGCAGAAGGAGGAACTGGCCAAGTTGGGCATTCCGTTGCGAACGACCACGGATTCTGATAACAAGGAAGAGTGGCGCCAACAGGCAATGGCACTTCTAAACGACGACACCCAGATGGAGCGAGATATCGCCATTGTTGCCGCTCTCAATGAACGTCTCCAAGGTCTCAAGGGCATGGAAGAGGAAGATAGGCAGAAGGCTATAGATTGCATTAGACGACATCAAAATAACCTGGAAGAGCAGCAGGACCAGCTCAGTGCGCTTCTGGACAGTGCCATCGCCTTTCTGAAGAATTTGGACACCTCACCATCAACCATGGCTTCCAAGGTACCCTTTCCAGAGCAGGAGTCGCCAACACCTCCGGAGGTGAAAGTCGATGAGTGAGTGAATATCTTTTCGAGAATCTATTCATGTGCTTTTTGTGCCTTAGTTGCTTTGTGTGCGTTGCCATGTTGTGTTTGTGCATGTCCGTGTTGGTGTTTCAGTCTTTGTGATGTGCTTGAAGAGTTAGAGAACACTCCGGGTCGCTTCAAAGGTCCTGGTGATCTCATTGCTGAAAAGTTGGAGCGAATTCGTGCAGATGATGGTGAAGTTCCTGAGCCTCCTCTAGATGTTCCGATATCTTTACTTTATCCGATTTTAGGTCAATCGTATACCCGTTCAACCTTCGAACAGCACACTGAGCAGCGCACGACAACTGGACCAGGAGGTGCACCAGCTGCGGCTGCGAAACCATTGGAGAGCAGAGGACATGTGAGATTATTGAACCTTTTCTACGGATGGCGATATTCATGACAACGTGTTCAGGGCTCCCTTAATAATCCTGGCGGTCGAATCCCGTATTGCGAATCTTGCAAACAGCAAATAAGGTGAGTTTCTTACACGTTCAAAGCAGATTTTCTTAACTTAATAAAAGGGCAGCGCAACACCCTTAGTCCGAGAAATCACTTTTTCTCATCTATTGCTTCCATTTTGACTTACTTAAATGAGCGGTTCGCGAAGACCTATGAAAGTGCAGTTGGGTATGTGGGAAGGTAGTGCGGTCCGGAGTGGACAACCCTGTGCCAGTTTCGCGGCGGAAAGTTGTACGGTAAAGGGATTAAGGCGCAAAGTTGCTTCAGTGGTACATCCCTTTTTCCAGTGACTCCGCCTCCAGACTCCGCCTCCAAAGTCGGCCTTCCAGCCAAAAGTAATGCTCCCGGGCAAGTATCATGGAGTGGATGCATTCAATGTCTCTTGTAGAGTCATAGGGTTCATTACTGGGAATCAGCCGACGGGAATTGTCCCAGCGCGCGGTCTTTTCGGTCTTTTACCTCTACAGTTGTTTGAGGCTAGAGGAGGCCTGACGAATGCGTTTCCAACGTTCCCTTTGGCATTTTCTCTTCATAGATGGTTCACTTGGCGAATTTTCTTCCACATTTCTGCAACAATCACCTAGGCTTTTTATCGCGGACCGTGCCTTTGAGATTTCGAAGGGAACTCCAGGTTGCATAGCTTCTACACAGCTGAGATACTATGTGACTACGTCACGATACACAGGAGAGTACTGAGAGGACGAGTCTTTCTCATAGTACTCCCCTGTCTAAGAAATCATTTCTCCACCTCCGCGACAATTCCTTTTACTCACCATTCATGATGTATTAGGTTGGTTGCAGTCCTATAACTCCTTCCAGACGGGTTCTTCATAATTCCGTTTAAAAGTTCATGTTCGTATTGAACAAAGAATTTTCTTGCATCATTATACCGCCTATTGATGCATAGTTCAGAGGTGCATTCGTGTTGGCTACCGGATTGGCGTGGTGCCCAGAACACTTCGTGTGCGCCTATCGTGGATGCGGTCGACGTCTTCTGGAATGTGGCTTCGTCGAGGAGAGCGGGTCCAAGTACTGTGAGGGATGCTTCGAGGCACATATCGCTCCACGTTGCGCCAAATGTGCGAAGCCCATCATTTCGGTTGGTTTAAATTTCACTTCACCATGAGTTCTCTATAAGAGGAAGGAAACAGAAAAAATTGTTCATATAGCAAAATGAATTTGTATTTGCGTTTATGTTCACCGTCTTCTCGAGGGATCCAGATCCTGACTGTTAGTGGAGCCGTGCTAAAGTGATGACAAATTTTGCCTTGTGAACATTATTTCCCAGAAAAGAAAACCTTTATCTCCGATATGGAGACTGTAAGAAGTGTAACCTGGAAACAGGCAGTTCATTCATTAACTTTGTGAGTGACTTGATGGCCCAGGTTTCATCCCATTGGCTTTACCATTTGCACGTTGCATGGCCATGTGTGTCTCCGGAGGATCTTCATGGCAACTGGCTTAACATAAGACCGGCACAAGCTCTGAAATGTTTGCCTAAGCTGAAGAGCTTTGGCAAAAATCGAAAAGTTCAACTTTTAACGAGAATTTTGATGTATCGATGTTATTTCCGTCCTCAGTATCGACGTAGCTTGCAGGCTACAACAAATCGTTTCCTCCTTTAGGGCACCCTTCGCGTTCAAAAATGGTAAGTGGTGCTGCTCACATATTGATGACAAGTAGGTTCCCAAATATCCTACCCAGAACCCCATGCCGAGACGAGCTTGAACGTGCATGAGGCAAAGAGGGCGTGGTCAGACGAGTTCTCACTTGGTGGTTCCAGCTCTTCCACATCACCTCACTATAAGCATTCGAAATGGAGAGACTTGGGCGGAGCAACCGCACCACCAGAAAGGCTTTAGTAACGAAATTTGGGTGCTGCATGGGGGTATGTAACAAGAGGAGTCTTGTTCCATACTGGGCTGGTGGGCTGCGCGTGCGACGTCGCGCCCGCAAATAACGATGGTTCCAGGTGGTAGACGGGCAGTTTCGGAAT